CCTTCTACAGAAGATCATAATGTCATGTGCGTATAGGGTATGAGATGACACATATCAGTTTATAAATCCCTTAAGAGATATTTGGTTCTCCATAACCAACTTTGAGATCCATCTACTTAACACCTCTTATGCAAATAAAAGTAGAAGAGGAGAATGAGGATCTCCTTGCCTCACACCATCAGGACATTTGAAAAAACCAACTTTGTTGCCATTCATGCCTATGGAAATGAAATCACATTGAAGGATTACATGAATCCACTTGCAAAATTAGTTGTTGAAACAAAAACAATCAAGAGTCTTAAGGATGAAAGGCCAACTCAGGATATCAAAAGCTTTGGAAATATCAATTTTAAGGGTCACGTTGCCTCTAAAACTCTTATTGTTTAGGAGGTTTGTAACTTCAGAGGTAAGGTAAATGCTATCCCTAATGCTTCTTCAATTTACAAAACCTTTTTTCTTAGGAGAGATCGAGAATGGAATAAGAGTAGATATCCTATCATCCAGGATCTTTGTGATAATCTTATGCATGAAATTAGCCAAAGAAATATGCCTGAATTGATTTAAGTTGTCAACTCAGTTGGTTTTAGGGATCAGGACAATAATGTTTGTATTGTAATAAGGGAGGATTTAATCCTGCAAAAGGAATTGAGTGACGTAACTTATGACATCAAATTTTATAATCTCCTAATAGTTTTGGTAAAAGAATGTGTGGAACCTTGTTTTGCAGGTAATATAACTTTAATCAAGACATTAGCTTTTGATGATGACAACTATGCCCACAATTAAGGGCAACTAATGATGAGTCAAGCACAACACTTAATCAGTTAAAGATGCAAACCTATATATTATGGTTTGATAAACTTGACCATCCCAGGAAAGGAAATAAAGTGAAAATAAAGTGTTATGAATAAGGCAAGTAAAGTGGAAAATATCCAAAGCCACAAGTTATCTCAAGTAAGGGTGAACACAAAGAAAGTATATGATAAAGGGCTTGTAGGAAAGGAGTTTATTCTCCTGATTTAGTAAGTGAGTGATTTATGTAAGCAAAGGGATTTTCCATAAAAACATAAGACTATAAGCACACACACTAAAACCTTTTTTAAATATATTTTATCAAGATAAAACACTTTCAAAAATGTCTTGGAGTTGTGTCAGATGATTTATGAGCCGTGGAAATAACTAGAGGGAAAATTTTGGTTCATCTAATCGGTTATGAGTTTGGTCTAATCGATTAGATCAATTAAAACTTACACCCCAAGTGATTTAGAAAATTCCTAAATGATGTGAAACAACCATATAACTTAAAATTTCATTTTGGGAACTTATAATCGATTGTATTCTGAAATCTAATCGATTAACACTTTCATCTAATCGATTAGCTAACAATAAAATTCGTTCAATGTAAATTTTGTTTTTGGCACACCTTTTGCCTATACATAAAGGCCTCATTTCTCATTTCAAATCGTCCAGAATCGTGTGTTAACACTATCTTCTCTCACTCTCTCACTCTCTCTATTTTTTTTACTTTATCTCACTATATGTTATAGCCAAATGGTTTTATGAGGAAAGTCTCTTTGTGAGTGAGTTTATTTGTGTTATTCAGAAAAGGGTAGAATCGTAAAAGTTCTCCAAGGATATCGTTTATATATACCTTGATTGAATACTGTCCAATTAGGGATTATTTGTGGTTAAAATTTAAACTTGATAAAAGTTTTGGTTGGGGATTGTGTGATCAGTCCTAGGTTAAAGATTAGCCGATATTAAAATCTCCCTTGGTTCTTGGTTAGCATTGTTAAAACCAAGATATGTTGAAGATTAACATGTTATTAAAATATTCATAGGCTAAGAGATTGACCCATTTAAAGTTTCAGAGGTTGTTTGGTTATCTTGTTAAACTAGAGGAATTGAGATAGAATATTTTGGAACTTGAAGACTTATCGCTCAAAGGTGTGCGTTCGTGGAAAGGAGACTAACTTCTTCAGTTCATCATTGAGAAGGAAGCTTGGCCACTTCACTCTCAACATTATATTGAAGAAAAGATGCAAACATCCATATCTATCATCTTGTAATATTTTGGTTGAAGGTCAACCACCATTTCCTTGTATAAGGGTGCTCGCGAGCCTTTCCTACAAATAGTTCTCAAGTATTATTAGAAACTATTAAGCCTAAGTCTTGGGGAGAAGATTAGGCTTTTTTGATTTGACCTAGCCTATATAATTATCCGTGTTCTTCTTCTTCCCTTAACTATTTACTTGTATGTATATCCGTGCGAGGCACGAGTTAAAATTTCTTTAACTAAAAAATAATAATTTATAATTACTTACAATTTACAAATAAAGTTATAGTAATATTATAATTTATTATATTCTATCTTTGTTATTAGTAGTATATATAATTTTTTTTATCAATAATAAACTATTTATTGTTAATAGAAATATATGTACTACTTAAAGATTTAATTTATTTAACTATAAAATAGTTTTTTAATTTCTAAACTATGATGTTAATTTAAAAGGAATAGATTTTGTTATTATTTTATGGATATATATTGCATTTTTATAGCAAATAATATGAATATAAAGAGAACAAAACTTCATATTTATATATGTTATCAAGCACAAAATTATAATTTCATTCGTACAATATAAACATTTACAAAAACATAGTAAGTTCATCATTAGACTTGAAAAAAAAGTTATAATAATATGATTAAATATTTTAATTTTTCAAAAATAAGAATTTCAATTTCATCGTGTGAATCATAATTGAAAAGTTACAATAATATAATTAAGTATGTTAATATTTCAAGGATGAGAGTTTAATCAAATTAAACATCTATATGAGTGTGTTTTTCTTTAAGATTATTAATGTCTTTTTATATATGTAAATAATTTGGAGGGAGAAAACTGTCAAATTGAAATGAAAATATAGCATTCAAATTTACATAAAAGATTGTGATTTAGAATGAAAATATAGCATTAGAATATTTGGAATTTGAAATGGAAATATAACATTAAAATATTAAAATATTTGTTGTGAAAATTTACATAATATAATAATAATTATTATCATATGGAAAAGAAACATGATAATTTTTTTAATAAAATTGTCTTGTATTGATGATATAAAAAAGATAAATTAAAAAAATTAAAAAAATAATAAATAATAAATATTTAAGAATATAATAAATATTTTATTTATATTGTAAAATGACTCTAGTATAATTTTTTTAAAATAACTTATAATAAAAAATAGGCGTCTAAGTGTGTAAAAGATTTATTAAAGATACTTTGTAAAACATACAATAAGAGTACAATTTATTTAAAAAAATTAAAAGTTATATACTATAATTGTATTTTAATTTTTCAAAAATGAGAATTTCTTTTCCATCGTGGAATTAAAGTTGAAAAATTACAATGATATAGTTAATTATTTTGATTTTCCAAAAATGTGAATTTCAATTCATTTGTGAATTAAATCAATAATATCAATATCAGTGTTTAGGCTGTTAATGTGTGTTTATATTTAATAGATAAATAATAAATAATTTGGAGAGTGAAAAAATGATCATCAATTTTTACTTTTTGTATAACGGTTGTATATGATATCAATTTTTATATTTTAGAGTGAAATTAAAAGTTTATTAGATTGAGATTTAGAATGAAAATATAACATTAAAATTTACATAAAAAACTGGAATTTAATAAGAAAATATAACATTAAAATATTCAGATTGAGATTTATATGGAAAAATGGTATTTAAATATTCGGTTTGAAAATCGGTTATATTTAGCTGTTATTAGAGCATACACATCCATCATACTCATTTGGGTTATTTAAATGAGACCCACATAATTTTTTATATTATTTCACACTTCTCAATTTTTTAAATAACCCATTTATAATTTTCAAATATCCATGTAACTCATCAAAAAATCTAAAATGAGTCTCACATTTAAAACAAATCAATTACATTCTTGTAATTTTATTTATTAATTTATTATCATGACCTATTTAATTAGAGTGTAGAAGCGTATTTTAATATGAGGATGTGCTTTAGTTCAGGAACGTGAAAACAAGTGAAATATCTATTTATTATTGACACAATTTCTTTAATAAATATGTAGAAACTCTCAAAGAACACCGATAATCATGCTCTTAATTTTTATTGAGGAAACTCCTAACCACACAAAATGAGTTCTCTAGTCATAAATCAAATCTCTAATTATTTATTTAAAAAGTTTAAAATTTTTACCACTTGTATTAGTCTATTGTTGCCAAAAACATATAAGTTTTATCGCTTGTTTAAAATTTCTGCCACTTATATCAATCTATTGTTAGAAAATACATAAGTTTTACTATTTCTTTAAAAAGTTCAAAAATCCCATCATTATATCTCTATTGTTGGCAAAAACATATAAGTTATATGTTAGTCAAAAACGATTTTTTTTACTGATTATGCTATTTACAATATCATGTGTAGTTCTGAAAAAATAAGAATGTGGTAAAGTTTCTCGTAATGTTTTCAACTTTATTTAGTTTTAGTTATTATTTGTATTTAATCGATTATTTTTTAATAGTTAAAATTGATTCACTTAAAATGGATGGAATAGTTTCAAGACAATTACATTAAAATCTTTAATATAAAATTAAAATAGATTTTTTAATATTTTTTTGTAAAATCTTTAATTCATCCTTATTATATAAAATTAAAAAAAATATGAAAAAGTCTTTGAAAGTTAATATTATTATTATTATTATTATTATTATTATTATTATTATTATTATTATTATTATTATACATAATAAATCAGAAAGAGTTTTGTTGACAACTTTGTCATTTGTCCTTTAATTAATTATTTAAATTTCCAATTAAAACTTTAATGAAACAAAAGAGTGATTGAATCAAAACTATTTTTCTATGAGTAAAAAACACACGCCTCTCTCATCCACTTATTTTCTCCCTTGCTCTATTCTCTTCTATTTCTCTATGCTTCATTATGGTTTCTTCAGAGAAAATTAAAATAATACAAATAAAAAATTCCTCTCAATCTCTCTCAGTCTCACTCACAAGTTCAAACATCAAATACAAAAAAAACAAACCCCAAATCAAACTCTTAAGCCCCAATTCAGATCTTAAACGTTCAAGGTTACATATGCAAGATTCTGCAGAAATCCAAAAGCATAAACAGAAAATACAGATAAAAATAAAAGGTATGTGTGCGCTGCTTAGTTCTCAGAATCTTCTTCTTCGTGTGGCTTTATCTGCGGATCTAAACTTCTATTTCTTCTTCTTTTCTGAAGCAATCTGAGATGAGTGAATATTGTTGTTGTTGTTTTGTATTGGTTAAGTATGTTGCTATGCGTGGTGAGTGAACGGTAAAGACATGTTAGTTTTGGTTGTGAGGATTGTTGACGTGAGAGTTCACGCACGGAAGCTTTGAGAGCTGAAGGGTGAAGGTGTGTCAGAGATTTAGGTATTTTGGTGGTGATTTTCGGTGTGTGTGTAATGAGGAGGAAATGAAGGTTGTTATTGTGTGTGTGTAATGAGAAGGATATGAAGGTTGTTATATAGTGTGTTTGAAGGGCGATTTGGAGAAAAAACTTTTGACTATTAGATAAAGATCAAGATGAAAGTTTGTTAGAACTCCTTTTGAATTCTCAAAGAACTCTTAGAAATCCCAATTGATATCAATAAGTTTACGTCTCTCAATGGGACTATTGATTTGTCCTAGATAGTGTATTTTGTCATTATGAGTAATTAGAAATTAATGAAATAATTAATTAAATATTAAAAAATAATTAAAATTAATTATAGAAACTTTTTACTAATAGAAAAAATAAAAATAGCATGGAGTCTAAAAAATTGACACTTGGCAAAGTTGCCAAAGACCTCCTCTATTATCTATCTATAAAAATGATAGTCTCTGGAAATTACCACAACACCACAGCTGAAATAATCCATTGTTGGTCTATTGTATTGGGGTAAAATTGGAAACTCCAAAATATCTTGCACCACATTGATTTGAATCTGACGTGGCACTCCCACAATTTTTCACCACATTTTTAATTTTTTTTTCCAAATAAATCCATGCCAAACCATTATGCCTCTCTTCCTCTTCCCCATGCCAAACCATTATTCCTTGCCATTCATTGTGCCTCTCTTCCTCTTCCCCATGCCAAACCATTATGCCTCTCTTAATCAGAATTCAAATTCAAATGGAACACCAAAAGTTTTTCACTCTTCCTTCAATCCTTCCCCAATGTGTACTTATGTATAACCTCCATTGCTTAACATCTTCCAGTCGTTTTCATTCACGCAAGCCATTGCTACAGACGTCCCTTTCGTTTTCATTCACGCAAGGCTCTCTGCGCTGTTACGAATCGCTGCGTGATGATGGCGCGCCCAATCGAGTATATCAGTAGCATTGACGATTCAAAGGATTTGTGGAAGGTTGCTGTTAGATGTAAGCATCTGTGGTCTGTTACCCGTTCTCAGAATAGAGAGCACTTAGAGCTTATTCTGTTTGATTCAAAGGTATAATACAATCTAAACGTTTCTGCTTTACCATTCTGATTTTGTTGTAACAGTACTGGTATATGATACTGATTTCAAGATGTTTGTATTTTCACAGTTGGATTTGATTCAAGCCATTGTGCCATCTTATTTGGTATCAAAATTCAAAACACAGCTTGAACTTGGTTGTTCCTACATAATGCAGAATTTCAAAGTTTCCAGCAATGATTTCTCCTTCAAATCCACTGATCATAAGTTCAAATTGATTTTCTGTGGTTCAACTTCCGTAAAAAAGGTCCAAGTTGCTGACATACCTCTGAACCACCTCAAGTTAATTGGAATAAATGTTATTATTGAGGGTAAATACAGAACGAATTTGTTATATGGTGAGTTACATTTTTACTGTTATAATAGAACGCATTGTATTGTGACTTCTCCGTTATACATAACTGTCTGTGGTGAAATTTTGTGCAGATATAATTGGTGGGGTTACTGAAATATCCCAAGCCCAGATAATTCCTGATAACAACAAAAGCAAGGTTGTGTTTTCATTAACTGATCTGAGGTAGGTGTTTCATTTTGTTTGTTAACATTGATGCTGATAAATATAAAAGTCTAACATGTTCATGTTGTTTGTTTTGTAATTCCTGTCAATCAGTAAACATCATGTGCAATGTACTCTTTGGGGTAAATTAGTTGTGCAACTGAATGAGTATTATACGACTCATAAGGCTGATGGTAGTATTGTTCTCCTACTTATGAATGCAAGGATCAAGGAACCTCAAGGTATGCTATGTGACTATTTCTTATTATATCCAATTATTATATTCAACTTTAAGTGTTGTCATTTATAAATATCTCAATTTTCAGGAAATTATCCTTTAAATGTATCAAATGCTTGGAACAACACAAAACTGCTCATCAATGATTTGTCTATTGAGGAGGTTAAAAACCTTAAAGAGAAGTAAGTGATTTTATTATGAAGTTATGAATTAGCAACCTATGATTACTAACAGCCTGTTTTCATTCTGATCTATGTACATCAGACTTAAAGATGATCTGCCGACGCTCTCATCCTCGAGCATGCAAATGGAAACCACAAATACCTCTGTTTTTTCTGATTTGGACAAATTTGTATGGAAAGCTGAAGTGTTGAGTCTGTCTGATATTGCATATCTGCAGACTGTAAGTTGCTGTTTAATACATGACTGTCTTAGATTGAGGAATTACACAGACGGGGTTCTAATCCATTTTTTGAGACATCATCCCATCTTTCTGTTTCAGGAAACTACATGTGTGACTGTTGCGACTCTGGAGAAGTTTGAATGTGGGCAGTCAGGATGGTATTATGATGGATGTAGTGAATGTACCAAAAGTGTGACTTTGAAGGATGGAAAATTCATGTGTTATTCCAAACACATCAGCTCTGAGCCAGTCCCAAGGTAACTTCTAAGTATTGCATATCAATGATTATCATCATATAACCAAACGCTTCATTACTGACAATTTCTTATTTTGATCACGCATGGTACAGGTTTAAGCTTGAAGTGCTTGCCTCCGATGGAAAGTTAAAATACAAGTTCGTATTTTGGGATGTAGATTGTGTAAAGTTGATTGGGAAGTCCGCCCTTCAGATGAAGTTGGATTTGATGGAGGTATTTTCCATTTGGCTAATATGTAAGTTAGATAATTACCACATAAATAACATATATTGTTTTAATCATTTAGACTGGAGATTTTGATCCCCTTGAATTCCCTTATGAACTTGATGTGATGCTGAAGAAGGAGTTGGCTATAAGAGCAGTGTTTCAACCAAACAAGGCCAGTCTTTCTGTAATCGGATTTAAGGCAGATGAAGTGCTACGTACCAAAATAAAGGAGAGGTTTAAATGTGAAGAGGTACTGTTGTACTCATGTTTTACTGTTGTTAAAATCAGTATCATGTGCATTGGATTTTTTTAACAATTGTTTAAAACTTGCAGCACACTTCAAAGATTGTCGTCTCAACAGATGACACTCGGGATGATATGCATACAGCATCTGTATGTTTTAAATAGGAACGACCTATTACTCGTGCCATCACATTTTGAACAATTGTCTAACGTTTATTTCTTGCGTTTTTTAACTTGCAGTGTACTCCGACCATCAGCACCTCAGAAAAACAGTCTCATGATGATCCACAAACAGTTTCAGTGCGTCTTTTTTTAGCTTTCAACATTAACAAATTAGCCTATTAAACAATGTCTTACTTCCTTTTTTATGCTACTGATTTTGTAATGACTCTTTAATGGCAGGATCCGTTATCAATCACTGCAGATTATGACCCTTCAGTTGCCAACTCTGCACTTACACCGTTAAAAAGATCTATTCCTGAGACAGTTGAAGAACTCGACAGTGCCCAACTATCGTCCACCAAGATAATAAGGGACATCAAGCTGGAGAAATGATGCAGTCAATTATCGTCGACGATTTATTTTTACTTTAAGCTGTTTTGGACAACATTGCACACCTTATTTTGATTGATGTAATGAAATATTTCTGGTTTACATTTTGTTTATTCTGGTTTATGAGGATTTGATTTGTCATTCTTTCTTTTTGTTTGATCCTTTTGACATTGTATATGAAAGAATGATATGATTTTAGTCATTTAAGCTGCAAAAAACTATGTATAATTTACACTGCAAAAAGCAATATGATGTTGGTAATTCCTTATTTTGTTTAATATAATAAACTTATTCTGGACAAAAATGTTTCTCTTTATGTCTTGATGCTGGACAATCCATATTGTTTTGCATACTTTATGCATAATACACGGTAGTATATCAGCATACTGTACATTAATCTAAAAAACTAATACATGAATAACATATTATGCATAGCAGAAATCCATGACACTTGATTAATATAAATTGTTACCGGATAATACCGGAAACGATATGCAATTATATCATCAACGCAAGATATGGAACTAATTTTGTATCATCCCATTTAACAAATCATAAGCAGATTGTACATTGAGCCGTAGCCCAACAATATCAAATAACAAAACTAATAACAAAGACAAATGGGCATCAAATAGATTTTCAAAACAAATAGTTATGCATTTCCGCCCATACAAAAATAATCCCTCCTTTTTGCCATGATGCTTCCCATGTAATCCAATCAACAACTCCTTTCAATGCTGCCCTCTCTCAACTTTGACCAATATACGTTCCACAGGAGGATGCTCTACACTGAATAAGAGAACGTCACCTTTCGACAGCTCTTTGTCCTTTGCAAATTTTAACCATCCCCTTGACAGAAACTTCTCGGTGATGTTCTCCCTGGATTTGAAAACACATTGGTACGTAATACCCGAGTCTGTGTCATGAAGATCAATATATGATCTTGGTTCCATGAAGATTTCCTTGATGACTGCTGCTGGAAAGTGCTGCAACATTAAAACTTTATTAGCTATGTCTATTCATTCAATGTTATGCATCCTTACGAACTGTAACAGCAAACAGATCAAGAGCTTACAAGAACTTGATTTTTTATCTGGTTGCTGCTCTTAACAACTTTCTGCCATCTGCAAACAAGTTTCTCTTGCATGGCAGGAGGTTGTACAACATCAGCAGCATCAGTAGTGTTGTTCTCCTTGCTGCATTAACAAACACGATTATTTAAACTACTAATTTGCAAAGTCAAATATTCAAATGTATATATGTAACCTAAAAGCCCTTGCCTGTCCAACACATCGCCCGCTGATTCCATTGCTTCATCAGTGGAATTCTGTTCAGGCTCATCGTCTGATAT